TATATATATATATATATATATATATATATATATATATATATATATATACTACTGTATATCACCTGTGCAGATGAGTTAAAGGAGACACTGCCAGCTCTGAAAACTGGGCAAAACTTAGAAGCAGTGAGACTCTACCAAATACCTAAGGTGACCCTTTACGAGAAAAATCTAACAATTATATATATAACTACTTGAATAAATACTGTAATTAACTGGACACGTTAGAAGAATCCTTTAACGTAGCATACGAGCACAAGGAACTGCACCGTTCGGGTTTAGGGCCTTTGGTCATTCGGGTACAATGACCAAATGGATTTTGAGGAAGAGAGATGATGCAATAATTTCACAACGGCATAACCTCTACTGTTGTAACCGATTAGTTACTGAGAACGCCGCCAGTGCCGCTGAATCAACTCACTAGGCAAGTTACTAGACGGCTCGCTTACCGCGCATACCCAACCGACGGCCATATTGTCCATATCGGCTCACTTTATATTGCATTTGTACATAAGTCATGTGGGTTACTCATCTAGTAACTGTATAACTTTACGGGTCGACCCGAAAAGTCTCATTTACTATAGCTGGTCCTCTTTACAGTACTGTTTACGGTCCCGGCCAGCTCAGGCCAGCTAATCGCCGTTTACTCCCTCTGAACACAGCCCCCGTAAGCGCCATTTATCGGGCCTCAGTGACGAAAAAGGTGTATTACGAAAAGTAATACACCTACTACTCGAAGGGGTATTACGAAAATTTTCCTATCTCCCTTAGATTCGGAGGTATTCCTCAAAAACTCAGCTGAGAGTTAAGTCGACTGAAAACGTTTTACCGCTTTGCTTCTGAAATCTGCTAGAAGAAAATTGCTTCAAGTCTCCACGATTAATCGACTGAAAAACTCAATCAATATCTTCATCAGACGTAGGAATCTCTGTATATCAGAAAACATTCCTGATCAAGTGAGTGAAAAAGGAACGATGGAGAAAAAAAATCAAACCATTTATCAACTTGTGAGAAACGACCTCGAATATTTTCTCGCCTGGGGATACTCTGACCTATACACGACACGAAAAAGCAGCTGTTACATGTGACACTGGGTATATAACTCTTTTCGTACTCTCTTTTCGTTTCTGCTATTCTCCACCTCCGTCCCTCTATTGCGACAGGACGGGGGAGGACGTAATTCTCGAGAGCGCTCTTCGGTGTTCGACCGACGTGCAGTGGAGAAGCCAAATATTTGATCGTACATTGGAAAATGAAATTGACAAGGGGGAGCGAATGAAAGAAAATCGGACCATTTAATAGTGAGAAGCTGCAGCGCAGATCTCTGAAACTGACATTTATGGCTTCCGATTTACGGTGAAAATTGTTGGTACAAGTTTCGATATTTTGAACCAAGAAAAAAATTATAATAGAAAATTATATCATACTTTATTCTTTTGAGTGAAGAAAAACCCTTCTACCCTAATAATAATTAAATACAAGTTATAATTACAAATTGCACATTATACAAGTTATAATTAAAAATTGCACGTGTCTAGAGAACTTTGATGACTACACATGTATCCACCATGTATGATTAAGTATAGGTCGAGGTACTTGGTTCAAATTATGGTCATAACATCGGAATCCAAAATTCATCATAACCTAGCTAATGATGTGACAGTAATTTCAACTAGGGATGCTGTGAGACGTGAAAGAAACAAGACGAGACGAGAAAAGCCGGTCGAGCACGAGACTCGAGACGAGANTACCCGCCCTTCTCCCGAGACTCAAGCCCTGGTCCCCAGGGATGGCCGAACCTCGGTCCAAGCCTGGGCGCCCAGACTTGGCAAGCCCAGGCTTGTGCCAGGCTTGGCCCGTTTCTACAACACTGGCATTTCGTACGTGGGCAAGAGAGCCTCCCCCTCGCTGCGCCTCTCTGTGTATATTTTTCCGTGGAAATTGGATTATAGACACGAGATAAGGCGAGACGAGACGAGACGAGAGGATCTCTCAATCCTCGATGAGACGAGAAAAGAAATTGCTCTCGTATTTCGATACGAGACGAGACGAGAGAATGGTTTCCTGCCAATGAGACGAGACGAAAAGATGCAGTTTCTTGTCTCGTCTCGTCCGCAGCATCACTGATTTCAACACACAAACAAACAATAATCTCCCAATTCTTATTGGGTATAAGTTATGTATCCACCATGTATGATTAAGTACAATTCCGCGTTCGTATATGAATCCATCCTCGAAGCGTATTACTTGGGATTCCCCTATCTAGTCTCTAAAAGAACAGTTGACATCAAACTGCCGGGAGAAAGAGGCCAAGATAACTAGAATAGAATAGGAACGGCGTACAACGAAAGAGTGTCAAGCGGTAGAAGGAGTCGATAAGCGATATGGCCCCCATTAAGATTCTCAGGTTAGAACACGTTATGTAACTTCCACGTAGGGAATGACTAGCATGAAGTAGTTTACACAAGAATAAAAGGACCCGAATAATCAGGTATGCAAAGGTTTTTGATAACGAGAACGCATAGATACTTGAGAGTGTAATGAAACCGCTCGAAACTTCCTGAGTTTGGGTGGGGAAAATGAGAAGGAGAATATGACGGGAAGGGTGAGGTAAGAAGGGGGTGTAGATGTGGGGAAATGTGTATGAAACTAGAGGGAGGTGGTAACAATTTTGGCGCCACTCGTTGCATAAACTGTATGGAGAATTTTCAATTCCACATGGGATCATGACCCATGAGGATATCATCTTTAAAGCCTGTATGGATATATTATAAATTCCATGAATATATATATAACAAGATTTATAGAAGTTGACTTTATATAATTGTTCAGGGTATTCCAGAAATTCAATGATTTCTAGTTCCTGGTAAATTTGTTTTCCTCCTTCATGTCCTTAAACTTTCTCTGCGATTGGCGTCCAAACGAATCTGAAGCTTCTTCTGTCCGTGGGTTTGTTATCAGTAGTATACCTAATCCACAACGTGAATAATTTAATGTTGATGACGATTATTATTCCAAACTTTTAGCTCAACTACGTAACTTGCAGCGGTAATCTCATCGGATCCTTTTTGCACCTATGGAAAGAGGATTAGCGGATCCGGGATTTAGGTAATTCACATAGCTACAACAGGGTAAGTAAAGAGACTGACGCTTTATGTTATCCTAGTTATATACGTTGGTGGTTTGCGAGGTGGCAAAGTTTCGCAACATCTAGTTACCCTCTCGTCTTATGTCAGAAGCTCCCACCTCTTCCATGTCAACCCCTTTAAACCAAGTTCGAAACAAACTTCTGGCCAAATCTTTCAGTGGTCGGTGCTATCTTGTCAGCTATGGGTATGTACGTCCCTGAGACAACTAAGATAATTCCCGATTTTACTTGATTTTTTTTGCTCCACATTCCAGATAAAAGAATTCCTGAATAAACAACTTTCCGAAGAATCTTATGGTATCTCTCTATGTTATAAAAATCCAAATCGACTTCTGGTGATGGAAATTTGGTACTTAAAATGAAGGGTCGGACCCACCCCTTGTGGGTCATGAAGATCGAAATAAGGATTATGAGGATCAAAATAAGGGTCACGGGGATCAAAATAAGAGTCATGAGGGTCAGAATAAGGGCCACAAGGCGCAAATTGAGGGTCAGGATAAGGGTCACAAGGGTTAGATAAAGGGTTATATAGATCAGATTAAGGGTCGCAAAATGAACGCTCACAAGGGTTAGATTAAGGGCCCAAATACAGGTAATAAGGTTCACATTAAGGGCAGTGATACCGTGAGACGAGACGAGACAAGAAATTGTTCTTGTCTCGTCTCGTCTCGTTCTCAGGAAACCATGCTCTCGTCTCGTCTCGTATCGAAATACGAGCACTATTTTGTCTGCCGTCTCGTCGAGAATTGAGAGATTCTCTCGTCTCGTCTCGTTTCACCTCTATAATCCAATTTGCACAAAAAAACAATACACGAAGGGACAGAGAGGGGGAAGCTCTCTCGACTCTCGTCTTACCTCTTGTTGCTCTTGTTCTCGACTGACTTTTCTCGTCTCGTCACGTCATGGCTCTCGTCTCGTTTATGTCGTCTCGTCTCGTTTCTCTCGCGTCTCGCGGCATCACTAATTAAGGGTGTAAATAAGTGTAACAAGGATCAGATTCAGGATCACAAAGGTCATATTAAGGGTTCAAATAAAGGCCATAGGTGCCAGAGCCTAATGATTACAAGGATCAAAATAAGTGCCTCAATATCTCTCTAAATTGTAAAACTTCAATCGACTTTTCGTCACGAGGGGTATAATGAGTGTCAGAATGAGAATCATGAGGGTCAGATTAAGGTTCAGAATAAAGATCATGAGGATCATATGAGGGTTGGCGAGCGGAGCGGCAGGGAGCGTAGCACCCTAGTGAATGATATAATCTAAATATCTGAGTCTGATTATTAAAACTTACTTTGTGCGGGTACAGGCTCCGTCAGTCCAATTTGCACCAATATCTCACTCTCAGCTTCGTAGATTCCAGGTATTCGCGCAGTGCAGTGAAGATTCAATTGGTTATTTGAGTAATGTAATGATAGGAGATCAACGGTCAGCTCACCCCATTGCAATTGAGGTTCTTCGATGTAAGCTGAGTTGCTACCCATATTATACTCAGATCTCTCCACCAGTTGGCTCGCGTTTATTGGACCAATCTAGAATGAAATTAAATGAAAAGATCATTCATAAAGTCATATTCGTCTTGGACAATGACAATATCAACCGTTGGGAGGATTATATCAATTTCGTTGAAAGCTTACTGAAGACATGCGCATTGGAATTTTCTTCGGAAACCAATATTATACTCATTATGTTTTTCACTGAGGCCTGAGATTGCTCGTAATTAAGTGAGTATATCATTCTCTAATCAAATATTTTCAATGTTTCAATGTTGCAAGGCGGAGTCTCAGGAACCATCTCATACATCTATATGACCATCTAGCTAGAAAGGTAGATGACTCATAGAGGTTGGAATTTAATTGTTTAGCTCACAGGCTATGACAAATTCACACCTCACAACAAACGTTTTAATTCGAGTTTTTTTTAGCAAATTTGTATATTATTTTCCCTTTAATAACTCATCACCGTACATCTATTTCATATATTAAAGCATAAATTTCACAGCCTTTTATAGCGATAAATTTCCTCAATTCTAGGAGTTGCTACCGTTTCTAATTGTCAATACGTCTAGACCATTGAAATTCGTTCTAAAAACATGGAGAATATAAACGTTCAAGTGAAACCCATCAAACTTTCTTGATACAACACGCCCTCTGTATCATCGGAGTTTGATGGTACTTGGATAATTATTTCCGTTGTGGTGCATATCGCCTGTATGCAGAAGTGGTTGGCCAATCCAACCGTGAAAGCATGAGAGGAGTGATGAGAATTTAAGTGGACGAGGGAGGAGTGAAGGTTGGAATTCTCCAAACTTCGTATGCATGCAAATTCGAAATGGGAAATGAGGAAACGAGTAGATGTATTTCAATGTTCAACTCCCTCCGACATTCGAACTCGTAATGTGGAACAACTTGATTGTTGTAGCTTTGTTGTACCCAACGTTGTTCGTTTTTTTCACCGGTATTGTCATTATTCCTCATCTTTGTTTTTTATCACTCATTGTTTCAGCCCGTGTCAAGATTACCCGACGTCAACTCTTTGTTTAATTTTCAAGCCATGCATGCTTCCGACAGGATTTTATACACCAGGGACGAAGGGAGATGGGCGACAATGAGTGGAATGATATCGGGAGAAAATAGCGAAATGCAGTGAATTAAGCATCATTAAGGTCATAGTGATATCTCATGCTCGTTTTAGGCTCTCATCAACTTGAGATTCAGTTTAGGTATTATTATCTCACATTTATACCTTCCACAAATTATTCATGAGATATATTTCTTATATATTAGATCTGTTAAAAATATATTGCCCTAATAGGGAGCTTCGCTCCGCTCGCCAACCCCCGCCCCCTCACCCTGGTTGGTATGGTGCGACGCATGAGGAGCGATTGATTCATGTTTAGAAAAAGGCTCAAATCAATGCTTTGAAAGCCCCATATGAACCCCATATGACCCTTATTCGGACCCTCATCCTCATCCTTGTCTTGCCCTTATCAGGACCCTACTTCTCACTTTTATCCTGACTCTAATTCTAAATAAGGATTTTTGACCCGTATATTGCACTACTACTCGCTCCACTCGCCAACCCCCCCCCCCTGTAGCGTCGCGCTACACACACACCAACGCGTAACACACGCACGGATACGACACGCTGAGAGACGACTGGACATCGGTGACATCATCGCGCTCTGTCACGCGCCCAGTATCAAATACCTCTCGCTCGCACCTATTGTATTCGCATCCGAATTCTTACCTGACGCGAGTATAATAATTAGTCGTCCGGCTCTCGCCGATCGGTGGACATCTCTCCACCTCATCCTGTATATATTCATACTACCGACTCATCATCTGTACATACTGGATTCATGACAATAAACTACATCTCTAGTTTTGCAAACTGTTGCCTCGCGTAGTTGATTCGGTATCTTCCCGAACAACCACAACCTCGAATCCTACACCCCCCCCCCCTCCCCCCTCTAGGGATTGAAGTGTTGTCGGGAAGTTTAATCAATCCACTACTAAACAATTAGTTGTCTTAATTGTCGTTTATTCAATCGCGTCTAGAAATATATATACAAAAGTAGAGAGCAAGTCAGGTGGTCGACTTGTAGAGTAATAGGCGGTTAGCGCCAGACTGAATATAATTTTCGCGAAAGGTGAGAATTCGGATACGCGTTACAATAGGTGCGAGTGAGAAGTATACATTTTTATTGGCAAGTAACAGAGAGCGATGATGTCACTGATGTCCAGTCGTCTCAACTACGCACGTTGTCGTGTCCGCGTACTAATGCATAAATGTGTATGTAGCGAGGCGCTACACCCCCTCCCCCCTGTTGGCATAGTGCGATGCATAAAGAACAATTGGTTTATTTCTAGAAAAAGGCGCCAGTCAACGCCTTGAGAGCCCCAAATGAACCGCATATGGGCCTTATTCTGACCCTTATCCTCATCGTTGTCTTGCTCTTATTCGAACTCTACTTCTCACTTTGATCCTGACCCTAATTCTGACCTTATTTCTGACTCGTATCATGGTCCGCATATTGGACTACTAGAGGACTTCGCCCCCCACTCGCTCCACTCGCCAATCCCCATTATCATGAGCCTAATTCTGAGCTTATTCCTGAACGTAATTCTGAATGCAATCCTGACCCTTGTAAACCTGGATTTCATTTCGAGTCTTAATTTTTTGTCTTATTTGCTATCGCCGAAATGTGATTCCCACATGACCCTCACATGATCCCCACATGACTCCCATATGATCCCCATATGACCCCCACTAGGACTCTAATTCTAATCTTTATCCTGACCTTAAGCCTCAGCCTCATCCTGACTTTAATTCTGACCCCAATACTAACCCTTTTGACCCTTGGTTTCAAGTCTTAATTTTTTGTCTTAATTTTCTATCACCAGAAATCGATTTAAATTTTTATGTCATAGAGAGATTCATCAATTTTCAGCGAAATTAAAAAATTATATGTTGAGTTAAAAACAATAGGAAAAATCCGGAGGTTTCCTAAAAATTTCCAACTTTCGGAGAAAAGTCATTTTTTCTCTTTCAATCCCAAGAACTACGTATGAAAAAATTCAATAGAAAACCTAGCGAATTCGCTAGAAAATTCTATTAGAATTCTATAGGCATTCTATGAAGTTTCTATAGGATTTCTATTGGAATTCTATTGAAAAATTCTATTTCTTTGTTGCGCTGCTTCTTTTGGATATTCAATAAGAAAAAGTCAATAGATTTCGAATTTTTGTTTGAATTTTTCTCTTGGATTTTTTCTATTAGAATAATTGGGCACACATTTTCTAAATTTTTTCCGCTGGAGTTTATTTTGTTTTGCATTGCAGAATCCGAGTAGAAAAAACTTTAAAAATTGATGCCCAAGCATTCTTATAGAAAAAATCTCACGAGTAAAATTGAAACAGAAATTCGAAATCTATTAACTTTTTTTATCGAATATCCAATAGAATGAGTACAAAAAACAAATGGAATTTTTCAATAGAAATCCTATAGAGATCCCATAGAAACTCCATAGAATTCCTATAGAATTCCCATACTAAAATATAAGATAGAATTCCAATAGGATTTTCTAGCGAATTCGCTAGGTTTTCTATTGGATTTTTTCATACGTGACTTCCTGAAGAGTTCAAAGAATTTCTCAGTGAATTAAAAATTCCGGGCAACACCTGGGGGACAGCTGGTTATCGATGGATCAAGGAATGTTTCGAATGACAGATGAATATTCCAACTCCTGATGGAATAAGCCCATTTCGTGATATGATTTATGAGCAATGGAATGGGGAATCGAAGCGGTGATTCTCCGATATATTGCGATAGGAGAAGGTTTGACCTCCATATCCTTCCCACGGCGAAGGTCACTATGGTATGCTAGTGATGGTTTATACATGACATTTGTTTACACCTTAACCGGGATGGAAATCTGAGAATGTGATTCTGCGTCACTGGCCCGATAAATCACATCATGAATATGAGGCGTGAAACTAGCCATTCAGAACAGATTGAATGTCCGGAACAACCAGCAGTGGCATCGCCTACTTCAGTTACGCTATACCGTTTTACGAGAGTAGTACCGCCTATAAGAGAGGGCTAACATAGTAGAAGTTGAAGAGGGTCATATATGAGTGTGCTGTGGAACACTGGAATATATCCACAGAAGTTGGGAAATATTCAATTCTCCCTAGTCCTTTTTACTTTTCTTCTCCGTTATCGTAGAGATATGCTGCAGAATTTCTTGGAAGAAGCCAGTTAGAGAGACAGAGCTGAAAATTGTATCTGTGACCTCATATCTGATTTAAATCATTTTTACACTAAATTTTCTACTTTCACGGAGAAAATTATTTTGTGAATTTCAACAACTAGTTGGTGAAATTTAGCAACTAATTAATTAAAATTCAGATCTTCCAATTTCATTCAGTTAATTTGCTAATTACCCAAATAGATGGTGAAGGCATATATACATTTGAAAACAATCACACAATCATTTACGTCTTGACAATCGATCAATGTCTCATCTAAAAGATATTTTCGCAATAATCTACAATTCCTTGTTAAATTTGATCCATGAAATAATTCGACGAATGTTTATTGAAAATTCAACAAATGGTTGGCGAATGAAATTGAAAAATCTTTTTCTGAATTTTAATTAAATAGTTATTGAATTTCACCAACTATATAGCTGGTGAAATTATGGCTGTCCACGGTACCGAGGCTAGTTTCGGTCTCATCTCGTATTGTCTCAGTATCGGTTCATGAATCCGAGAGGATGCTACGTCCACACGGAGAGAAATATTCAATAAAAATTACGTATCTTTTTCGTAATTCCGAAGCAAAGTGGGGTTGTAGGAAATTTTACGCAACTGTCGCGGAATTTTTCCAGACGGTTCCGTAATTTTTATCTGAATCTCCTGTGAAAAATTACAATACCGTCACTTAAATTTTCTGAGTCGATTCCGTAATCGGTGTGCGAATTGTGAGTTCCGTAATTTTTACTGAACATTTCTCTCCATGCAGGATT